GTGAATAATGGAGTTTGGATGATACCTAATTATCCAACCAGGCCTGCTGTATGGAGGGGAGATCTTTAGATCTCTTTGGACTAACCTTACGGCGAGCTCGAAGTCCTTCTGGCTGTAATATCTTACTTGTGCGTGCATGACCTCAAGCAGCCTTCTGAGCGATATTGAGTAGCTTGATCTCCTCTCCATGTAGATGTTGAGAATTTTGTGCATGTAGATGACATCAAACACACAGAGGTTGTGGAGGTCAGCGTCTGTGAATGTATAAAGGTTTCCCTCTTCCCTCCTTACTACATACTGAGCATAGAGCACCTTCTTCTTTAGCATAGTCCTTGGAGAAATTTTCTCTAGAGAAGTGATCATGTGCTHTGAGAAGACTTGCTCACGAGGCCTTGTGAGCTTAGAGAACTGGAACTTGGCGGCGGCAGAAGGGATCCCTGTAACCTCTGGATCATAGGGAGGCTCTGTGTCTGCTGCAGAGTACCTCCACACTTGAATTTCTTCTAAAGGAGTAACGGGCTCTGTTCGGACTTTTGGCATTGGAATCTTGCTCATTGATTCGAATATTTCAGACACCCTTCCTACCRTGGCGGACTCTGGCACCTTGGCTTCCTCTTCTTCCAGAATTGGCCTCTGGGTTGACCCCTCTGCAAGGATGGGTTTGACGGTTCCTTGCAGAGTGTCAAACATACCCGTGGATGTTTCTTGGACTTGTGGGAGTTGTGAGGAAGTGCCTTCTCCTGCTCTGTGAGGGATGGGGCCTCTGCCCTTCTTTGCTAGAGCCTCTGCCAAAGATGACTTTAAAGCTTCAAGGAGCACTGGGTCGTCTCTGTATTCTTCTTCATTTATTGGCTGTGGAGTCTCTATGCTAGACGACGACCCCTTCTGTGGTGACTCTACAGCTTTGCCTTTACCTTTGCCTTTAGGCTCTGGAGCCTTTTACTTGCCTTTAGAGAACAAGGCAGCTGTAGAGTCCACAATCTTGACGCCTCTGGCATGAGTCTTCTTTGGCTCTGGTTCTTTCTTTTCAGCCTTCTTCTCCCCCTCATGACGATCATCACCTTCTTGATCGTCATGGTTCTTTTTGGCTTCTGCCTTGCATGTATCCAGGGAAGCCTTCTCCAACCTCTGCAATATTTTGGTGGCCGCCTTCTTCATCTTCTTGATTGCCTCATTTGCAAGCTCAGAGGCGTGATTGATGTCGATCTATGTTGACCATTTCAGTTTGGAGACGCTTCTGTTGATTTCGCTTCTGAAGAGGTCACCCTCTTTCACGAGTTGTGATGTGCAGTCTCTGATTGTTGTGTTGTAGGCACATGCCTCTTTGAGAAGACGGTCTGTATGCTTGCACACGAGATTACCCAGAGCTTCAACCATAGCATCAATCTCTCTGCGGGTAGCTAGGTGATTGATGTTGGTCCTTGAGGACTTTGTATCAATACCGTAAGTCACACGCAGAGGAAAACATCTGCTTGATTTCGTCTTTGAGAGAGGAGTAATCCGTGTAGCCTGCATAGATGAAGTCGGCAGAGAATTGGGCGGCCATTTCTGAATGTTCTGTCTTCAAGGTCTGGATGGAGGAGGGGTTGAGGCTTAGAGCTTTGAACGCCTCTGTGAGATCATCCTTCTGTAGGACAGAGCTCTGAAGAGTTGAAAGAGTAGACTTGAGTTCTGCTGTTGTTGAGCTCAACTCCTTCAAAGCCTCTGTTTTAGGAGAAACGTCTTCTGTCACCGAGCGGGAAATAAACAAGCTTTTCAACTCGTCTATCTTTTTGAATACTTCTGTGGCAAAGGTTTGAAGCTCCCCCTTTGTCACATACGTATCCTGGGTACCTAAACCACCAACACATGGTGATTTCGTAGCCTTAGAGCGTGAGGCGCCCTCAGTGACTGGTATAGCGTAGTCTGCTCGGGGACTTCCACCAGATCCTCGAACATCTCCCAGAGGAGAGCCTACTGGTGTTCTGTAGATTTCGTGCCCTGTAGGTTTAGAGCCTAGCATGGCAGAGTGATCTAGTGGGGATAGAGGGCGTTCTAGACCCTCTGTCTCTGTGTGCCTCACTTGTGCCTCTGAAGCATGTTTTGGGTGGTCACTCTTGTGTGAAGAAGCAACGAATGCTTCTGTGGGATGTGTCGAGTCCTTGGGCGAAGGGACTCTTGTAGTAAAGCCTTCATCCTTTTGAGAGGATGGAGG